CAGGCGTTTATAAGCCTATGCTTATGTCTTAAGCGTCCGAGGATACACACGGAAGCATCACCGAGGATATAGTAAACCTAACCATACATCAGGGACCTCTCAGTAGCGCCTGAACACATTGCTGCAGGACTAGGTGCTGGAATTGCTCACTGAACCAAAGCTATCATGCATAATAGGATGATGAAAATCAAATACCGGCTAAATCCCAATGAAAAATTTGGGGCATTGTATCATGTCACATAGCTAAGCTGTCCTTACAAGTACACGGTTAAAAATAAATGCATATTTGAATCGCTCCCACGTGAACATAATCTGACTGTACGATGGGACTTCGAATTATCCCAAGTTGCTGTTCAAAACTATGAACATGGCTATGAAACTAATTTCCCGGTCGTCAAAGTATTCTCGCACACAGGAAAAAAGGCGAGACAATAATTGATTGAAGCCTGATCTTTTGATGGGAACTCAATCAATCGATTTATCGATTTGGCGCTGACGTACGAAGTTCTGTGCAATTACACCCAGATGTGCGTCACTGAATGTTCATCGGTTTTCATCCGCGAAGGGCCCTAATTACAACTGCTATTGACTGTCAGAGCAAACTTATAAGCCAATTACGCTATAAGAGTAACTCCTATTACCATTAAGCTATCTATTTACTTATCCCTACCACAAATATTTCCGGCACTCGACTAGCCTTCTTTAAACATGCAAACACCTGGGACACGAACATTCATATTTGTTGTTAGTTGTTTATACAAGTCGCATTTAGGGGGCATGGAGGTTGTGCCGAATACTTTCACAAACCTGAGGCTCAGACGGTAGTGTTGGATCAATTTTATGCGCCACATGCTAGGCATCGTTAAGGAAGGGAAAAACAAGATAAGAGATCTTGCCCAGTAAACTTGTTAACATGCCAGCGTAAATCACATGAAGGGTGAGTGCTTGTTACTATGGTTCAAGTTTCAACGTTCTTCTCGTACTATTTTCCGATTTTGTATTTGGTACCACTGTCAAACACCCCTGCCTTAATCATCGCTGTCTAACTTTATGTGCGCTCTAATGCTCAACTTGGTTTTAAGGCCGGCTTATTATCCATCGGAAACATAATAAGAAATACATATCTTATTGCTTCTTTGCTAAATTCTAGATAAACTTTCTGCCTACTGGCCGATCAATTTGATTTAACTCCTCTGAAAATCAGGCGGTTAAACAAAATAAGCTGGCTTCTGCTAGATGCTCTTGCCTACCAGCTTAATTTTTGTATTTATTTTGGTATCTTCGAAGGCAGTGGAGATTTATCAGTATATTCCACAGACCAATGTTTCGTACTGCTCAAGAATATTAAGTTATGGCGGCCAGGCTGGCTGTTCGTCAAAGTACCCCTCTAGCCTTGGACCAATTCTTGTTGCGGACGAACATAACAATTTGCCAGAGGCTTTGAGTACCATTACTGCTGAGCATATCATTGCGATTCCATACCGCTTATTTCTCAACCGCTCTCTGGTGTCTCAATTAAGAGACTCCAGGAATGTTGCCGGCCTTGTCGTTTTCGCCCCCGAAAGCCTGGATAATGTAGAGATTCAAAACACCGAATTTTCTGAAAATTCTTTCTGTCCTAATGGGGCATATAACTTTTACAAAAACAAAACTTTTGAATGTGAATTGACTCCTAAGTGGAACCCGACAGCATCTGACTATGCGACTATATCTTGGCCATTCCCTGTCGTATTGATTTTGGACAAGGACAATTACATCTGGGTAACTATTGTACAGTTCTTATTTTCAGAATAAAACTCTTGACTGTTACCAAAGATTCAACGTGAATTCTACGGACGACACGCGTTGTTCTATGGAGATACGTAACTTCATGTCTGGTATCAACTCTTCCCAGACGTGTTATTACCGGGAGCATCTTCTCACTTATCGCTTAGAAGTAAGCATCTGTACTTTAACATTTCTTTAGCAACCGACAGAATTTTGTAGTCAGATTGGTGGCGTAAACTTTATGGTCCGTGCTATCGATAAGCCTCCGGTCGATGAAAACAAGCATCGTCTGCCTAATTCAGCATTACTTGTTTTGACACG